CAATAGGACATATCCCTGATTATTCTCTGCTTTTGAACAGCAGCTGAGAAATGACACCACCACTGCAGCCAAAAGCCTGTGACTCCCCTATGTGTGTTTCACATGAAGGACCACCCCAGACTCCACTGTGTTGCTACCCTGCCTTTCGCCATCACTGAGAACATCTTACAATGCTGGGCAGTGTTGGGATCTCTCTAGGCTGTTGTGCCTCCACATGCACACACAGATGCTAGAACTCCCTGGTGTGGTGATGAGTTATACCAGGACCACGTGAGGACTGCGGAGCAGCAGCCCATCGCGTCAACATTTCACCCCTTCCTGAGTTCACATTTGCCTTTTCCATTCAGGAAATTGAGAGCTTGGGAAATTCATCTCTCCACCGTCTCCAATCTGAGGACGGGGGATGTTCAACTAACCTTCCGGTACAGCTGTGGTGAAGGATGAAGTGTTGACTGATGTGGGGATGGAATGTTGTTTCTAGAACATTGATCCTTGGGTCGTGCTTTGCACAGGGGAACATACTTTCTAGAGAAATGTACACACACTCCCAAAGGCATTCACCATCACTCCACATGGACTCTCTCCTCCATACCTCTCCACCCCGATGCACCCTATTCCTATTTAAATGACATCACTGCTTCTGGAAACTACCGTGGATGGCCACAGTTGCTGACTCAACTCTTCATTTTTTCACACCAAACTGCCCAAACCTCATTTCCAGCAGGAAGCTCAAACCAGCAAAAGCCGGGAGGAAAGCGTCACCTTTCTCAACACTAAGATATTTTCTTAGCAAATGGGTGACCCGCAGAGTACATACCGCTTGCCCAAAGCGCTGAGTCCCTCTGCAGAGAGAAAGGAAAACACCGTGAGCGTCAGACCAGGCTGTGTCCTGTGTGCACAGGTCTTTTCTTCAGTGGCTGACATTAGAAAACCAGATGAGAAATAGTGTTTGATGCAATGGCCCCAAAATAAAGCCTAGAAGACACTTGTGGAAAGGCAGGCACAAGAGTTTTGTCTAAGACTTTCATATGATTTTTGTTGCAAATTCACCATTGTTTTCAAACAGTAAGCACTTCTCCTGAGGAAAAGGTTACCTGCACACAGTAACTGAAGGTGTCATCTATGCGTGCCATCTGGAGCCAGTTCCTAGTTGGTCATGAACTCTCATATTTTCCCACCAAGAAATTCTGTAACTTATCTATAATGTCCATGGTAAGGTTTGCATATCTTAATTCAAATGAAATAGGAAGAAGCCAAGAGAAATACAATTCCCATCTTAGTCAACGAAAGATCTTACATTGACAAGGGCCACGACTTTCTCTGTGGACTTCTCTCTAGGAAGCTCTGCTGCAAGAAACTTGAAACCTAGGAAACACGAGAGTCACTGTCAGCGCATGGGAGCTGCGGAAGGATCCCTCAGGCAGCCTTGGGTGCTGTGGACAGGGGGCTGGCGTGTGTGGAAAAGGTGGGTTAACAGCACGGGCTGAGCTGCTGCTGGCCGTCCTCCTTAGTGGAGAAGGAAGGCAAAGGAGACCATCAGGAAGGCCCTGGGAGACAGAACCTTGGTTCTCTAGCTAAGCCACCCTCATCGGTGTGAAAACTGATCTCAAACAGGGTACAGCATACAATGTGGCTGTGTTTCAACAGCGTCTCAGGGAGTCTTCTATTCAAACCTGAGCTAAAAGCTAAGTTTTGTTTTGTTTTGTTTTGTTTTGTTTTGTTTTGTTTTGTTTTGTTTTGTGACAGAGTCTCCCTCTGTCACCCAGGCTGGAGTGCAGTGGCACAATCTTGGCTCACTGCAAGCTCTGCCTCCCGGGTTCGCGCCATTCTCCTGCCTCAGCCTCCTGAGTAGCTGGGACTACAGATGCCCGCCACCATGCTCAGCTAATTGTTTGTATTTTTAGTAGAGACGGGATTTCACCGTGTTAGCCAGGATGGTCTCCATCTCCTGACCTTGTGATCCATCTGCCTTGGTCTCCAAAGTGCTGGGATTATAGGCGTGAGCCACCGCGCCCAGACTTTTTCTTCACCCAGGCTGGAGTGCTGTGGTTCAATCACAACTCACTGCAGCCTCAACCTTCCAAGCCCAGGTGGATCCTTTGCCTCAGCCTCCAAGTCGCTAAAACTACAGATGCCCCCATCGTGCCCAGCTGATTTCTTGTATTTTTTATAGAAATGGGGTTTTGCAGGCCGGGCACGGTGGTTCAAGCCTGTAATCCCAGCACTTTGGGAGGCCGAGACGGGCGGATCACGAGGTCAGGAGATCGAGACCATCCTGGCTAACATAGTGAAATCCCGTCTCTACTAAAAAATATACAAAAAACTAGCCGGGCAAGGTGGCGAGCTCCTGTAGTCCCAGCTACTCGGGAGGCTGAGGCAGGAGAATGGCGTGAACCCGGGAGGCGGAGCTTGCAGTGAGCCGAGATCCGGCCACTGCACTCCAGCCTGGGCGACAGAGCAAGATTCTGCCTCAAAAAAAAAAAAAAAAAAAAAAAATGGGGTTTTGCCAGGTTGCCCAGGCTGGTCTCGAACTCCCGGGCTCAAGCAATACACCCGCCATGGCCTCCAAAAGTACTGGGATTACAGGCGTGAGCCACAGCTCCCGGCCTGTGCTGCCTTCCTGATCCCTTCTGAGGGCACTTACTCCCAGGACCCATCCGCACTGCTGTGTGGATCACCCCTCCTATAAGATTTCTTACTTCATAAAATCAGCCCTTCTTTCAAAATACGTAATTCAGCCAAAATATTCTATAACATTTATCTGTCAAACATCTGTTTTAAGGAAAATCAAAGATTTGAAAATACACTTATCCTACCATTTAAACATGACATGTCACATGTGCTATCTGTCCTTCCAGTCTCCCTTTTCAACACAACATGTGTCCAGGGAGTCTGCTACTGCTCAGGCTCCCTCTGGCTCTGACACTGGGAGAGCCCATCCTGGAAGCAGCAGGTGGGGGCGCTGACCCTCTCATCCCAGCTGTGCAGGAATTCCAGCAGGGGAGACGGGCACCAGGCTAACGCCCAAGTTGTTCCTTGAGCTCCTGTTTGATGTTGTGCCTTAGGTGTGTGTGCTAGTGAACTGGAGCATTTCTAAGGCTTGTGGTTACTATGTTCTCAAATACAACAGAATGTGTCCCTGATTATTCTCTGCTCTTGACCGGGGGCTGAGGAATGAACCCATCATGCCGCCAAAACCCTCTGAGCTCTGCAAGTGTGCCTCACATTAATGACCACACCAGCTTCCACTGTAAAATGTAGCTATTCCTACCCGGTGTTAGGTGACCACTAAGACCGTCCTGTAATGACAGTGCTTAAAATCTCTGCAGGCTAGCACACCTCCACATGCGCACATAGGTGCTGGAACTCCCTGGCATGGTGATGAGTTATGCCACGGCCGTCTGATAAATGCACAATAGTAGCCCGTCGCATCCATGTTTCACCCATTCTTGAGTTCACATTTGTCTCTTCCACTTAGGAGACCAAGAGCTTGGGATATTCATGTCCACACCATCTCTATCTGAGGAGTGAGGACAGGAAACTTACCTTCAGGTACAGCTGCCATGGAGGATGAAAGGGTTGATTGATGTGGCGTGTACAATGGTGATGAATGTTGTGTTTAGAACGGTAATCCTTGTGTTGTGCTTTGCACATGAGAACACACTTTCTGGGGAAATGCACACACGCTCCCAAAGACATTTATGATCCTTTTACACAGACTCTCTCCTCCACAACTCCCAACCCTGATACACACCACCCTCTTCCATCTAAATGACACTACTGCTTCAGGGACTGTAGGGGGACCCCCTGAAACTATTGCTACAGAATAAAAGATGAAATGCCCCTGATTATTGTAAATACAAAATTGCATGTGGGATTGTGTAAAGACAATGCCAGGTTGGGCTGCCAGAATGAGCCAACAGCGCGTGATGTGCTTCCCCCTGCAGAGAGCCTATGAATGGACATGCAGTCAGGGAGGTTTCACATCACCAAGATTCCTATCCCAGAAAAGCAGATTTTCATAGTTCTGGGAATGGAATGCAACCCTTGTGGAGAGCCTATAAACGGACACATGAGCACGTGCCATCATTATTCACCTACCACATTGAATCAATTGTCACGTACGATGCGGGGCTTTTCTGGAAGGCTGGCGGTTCCCTCCCCAAACAAGGTCCCAGAGAAGTCTAACGCTTTCTCTAATCACTCCACCATCCTTACCACCCTGTGCTACCACCTTGAGTAGTGAGGGATCGAGTTACTTAATGTTCTTTCTCTTTCATTTTCTCTAAAATAAATACAAATTTTTAAAATGCTACTTCTAGATCTGTCACAGTGACTCACACCTGTAATCCCAGCAACCTTGGGAGGCTGAGGCAGGAGAATCACTTGAAACCAGGAGTTTGAGACCAGCCTGGGCAACACAGCAAGACTCCATGTCTATAATAGGTATTACGCTGTATTTGCTACAGATTTTATTGACAATCATTTTTATACTTTCTTGTAATTCGCACACCTTCCTTTTAGAATCTACATTTTATTTTATATATAAGATATAATATAAACTACTTCATATCAGATAAATTATATTTCAAATAATATTCATAGTTTATAAAGTACACAAGGATATTTGAACATCTATTTGTAAAAGGGACATTATAAGAAAAAGAAACTGGGGAGGAAAGACAAAAAAAATTCAGAGAGAGTGAATAGAATTATTTTCAGTATTCTAGAATAAGAAAATTGGATGCTATTTCACTCGTTCTAATAGTTTATATTGGTGGAGTATTATCTATACTATCTTAGCATGAGTAAACATCCCACCCAACAATATGTTTTATTTTTTCTCTCTTGTACATATTGTAATTGTTATTAGGTTAAGTTTGTATGAGACCTTCAGGTTAAATCTGAGAATAAAAGAAAAATTAATTGGAAAAAAAAAAAAAACGGACACATGAGGGGCACCTGTCCATATGGTTAAGATAGGGCTATAAACGCCCTCATCTTGCCATGGCTCTTCTAGGCCTCTTTAGGGTTAAGGCGTACTCCCTTCTGAGAATTTCTGGTCTAACCAGTTGACTAGCTTCACGTCCTGTTTCTATGGATTGTTTGTAACCAGCTTTTGCTGCAACTGTTACTGCTGATTAATACATTGCTATTCATAGGTTATGGAAAGACTGTGTTTCTGTTTTAAGGCTTTGTTAGAAATTACTGATGCACACACTACATTGTAAATTCTTATCTCTGTGCACTGTACTTCTGCATACAGATGTTATGTTAAAGAATTACTTCATCCCCATGTGACTGTCTCACCTCATAATCAAATGACCCTAAATCCCTCACTAACCTACCTCTGCCCTCACTAAACTTAGTAATAAATGCTGGCATATCCAGTGCATTGGAGGCATCGCAGGACCAGAAGGCAGTGACTCCCCTGGACCCAGCTTTCACTATATAGTGTGTCTATTATTTCTCCACCTGCCAATCTGCCTGGGAACAAAGAAAGAGCCCCGTTGCATTGCAGGCTGCTGGCCAGAGCCCACAGTATCTGGCGCCCAACGTGGCCTTCTTTGTTCTTCAGCTCAGTGCACTCCGAGTACGGGTTTGTGACCACTAGTCTTCAGTCTCGACGGTAAGGTCTCTGTGTATGTGTTTTCCAACTCTCCCCTCTTTTCAGATTTGTCGACCGGTATTATTCCAGGGTTATTATGGGACAATCACAGTCCAAACACCAGGCTTATCTGTCTTTTATTAAACTTCTTAAACAGGGTGGAATCAAGGCTGATTCCAATAACTTTATTCTCTTATTTCAGACTATTGAAAAATATTGTCCTTGGTTACCTGACAAAGGTTCTATGGATCTGTTAGATGGGGATAGAGTTGGCACCATGCTCCGCCAACTCATGAGAGAGAGATGGTGCTTTACTTCCTATTTCTGTTTGAACTGACTGGGCTCTTATTCATGTTGCTTTACTTCCTTTTCAGTCTGGTGATCCTCTTCAACTGCCACAAGTTAACACGGATGGTGAGCCACTCCCTTTACCTCGGGTACCTGACTCCCCCACTAGTCCTCCTTCTGATCATGAGGAGGAATTCCATCTCTCCTTGTTTTCTCCCCAAGAGGAGGAACCTGGTGATGATCCCCTCCCTCCACCTCCTATCTTGGAACCCGTATATGTTAACTCTTCTTTTACTAGGCCATTGACCCCTCTGCCAGAGGAGGACGTGTGGCATTCATCTGAATGGGCTTTCTCTTGTTCCTCTTGCCCTTTGGGACCTCTTTCCTCTTCTAAGCCTACTGTTTCTTTCAAAGCTCCAGGACCCCTCCTTTCAGAGGCTTGGAATCCTGCTTCCCCCAAGTCCGTGTC